ATGCATTCCAGCAAAGGGATTCCCAAAATATTACAGCTTCTAATTAAGACAATCTCTACACAGCCTGTTCACGCATTATGATTTAGACAGACAAAGATTCATCACATGCTCACATCAAAGAACCTCAGATGCCTTTACAAATAAGACCCCTCAAATGCAGTTTCATTAAACACTTTACTCCTGAATAAAATGTGTGCTTGTTATTGTGTGTGTGTTTGTGTGTGTGCACGTTCATTGGCTTGTGATCAACATGTTCAGTTATGAAGAGGTCAGACAGTCTAAATAAGACATATACACAAAATAATCACAGACAAAGTTAATGGAAAAAAGTAAATTCTAGCCAGCAGTTTGGCATGTTTATGTGGCTTCAATGTTATACTATTGCTGTCCACTGCTGTATTAGGACACTTGAACGAGTGAATAAAAACGTGCATGGATTTGGGCTCTGTATGCGTCAGAAGGGCTGCAGCTTTTGCATAGTTTGTGCTGTTTTATTGTTAGTAATATTTCAATATTTCACTTACTGGACTGAAGCAACTTAGGTTTACTTGATTATCCATGAAATAATGTGAGCACACAAAGAAAAGCACTTCACATATGCACTTATTTAACTGAAAACAAAACAAAACAAAAAAACAAGTGTAAAATTTTGGACACTTCATGCACTTAATAGTCGCAAAATAACCTTCTAGTACAGTAGAGTACACAGTGCATAGTTTAAGTGCATACAGCAGAGTATGTCCTTTGGGACACATTTGTGCAGCTCATCTAAAATTCTGACGTTTACCCTCATGTCATTCCAACCTGAGTGGCAAAGTTTGGCAGATATTCAGACTGTTTATTTACATAGTGATAGGTGACCATTGATGTCAAGCTCCAAAAAAGCATCTGCTCAGTATGTTTCAAGTCTTCTGAAGCAATATGATAAGCAAAGACTGCAGCTTATCGACTGATAATCATCTCCTCTAAAGCAGTCAGTCAAAGCAGTCATTTCTGTTGGTGATTGCTGGTGGTCTGCTGTGAAGTCTTTACGGCCAGATAGCATCATTTTCATCTTTGTTGTTGTTAAGTGATCGTGTTTCTTCATTCTAATTTAAGAACTTTTGGATTAAGAGGACACTGGTTTCCTTGATCAGCACTAGTATTGCAATTCTGTTTCTACCCCTTTTTAGATTTTTCAGTTCAAAGACATTCATTTTACTGGTTTGTTCACTTATAATGGGTATTAGCCTGATTCTGAAAATGGTGGTTTTCTAGTTTATTTTTTATCAAATTTTGCATTCTATGGGTCTCAAATAGATATTTTCCCATTAGCCAAATGCTTTTATTAGTTAGTGGACCCCACACTTTACTGGAATAAATGACATTTGGCTCATTAGCTCATTCTAATATGTTCAGCCAAATTCTAATTGGAATCCCTAAAGGCATTTGTTTTTTAGTATAGAAATTGTGCAGTTGTGCTCTCAGTTCATTGGGGTTGTCTGACAAATCGATTATAAGGCCAAAATGATTGTATCTTGATGAACATGTACTATGATTGCTTCATACAGTATTTTATTTATTATTTATTCATGCATTTGTTTGTTATATTTATATACTTTATTTTTTAGTTATTGTGTTTCTTTTATTAATAATTTTATTCAGTTCAATTGATCAAAAAGTAACAGTAAAAACTTGATTTCAAATAAATGCTGCTCTTTCGAACTTTCCATTCATCATAAAATCCTGAAAATTGTATCACAGTTTCCTCAAAAATATGAAGCAGCACAACTGTTTTCAACATTGATAATAATCAGAAATGTTTCTCGAGCAGCAAATCAGCATATTAGCATGATTTCTGAAGCTCATGTGACACTGAAGACTGGAGTAATGATGCTGAAAATTCAGCTTTGATCACAGAAATAAATTACATCTTAAAATATATTACAGTAGATAACAGTTCTTTTAAATTGTAATACTATTTCACAATTTTACTATTTGTACTATATTTGAGATAAAATAAACACAGCCTTTGTGAGCAGAAGAGACTCCATCCACCTCCCCTTTAGTTGAGTCTCAAACTTGAGCTCACAAGCCAAACATTTTGCTATGTTGTTGCATCTCATAAATATCATCCTATTTTCCACTAAAATTTAAAGAAAAAAAAAAAAAAGATTTTTTACAAATTATTTTATTTGAAAAAAACAACAACAAACAAACAAACAAAAATCAAATCAAATGTAATTAAATCAAGAGCTTAAGTTTTCGGATAAAATCCTGTGTGTATGTGTTTTAGAGGGTTTTGACAGAGGAGCACTGGTAGAGAGCCCTGCAGCTCTGATATTAAGCGTGCTATCAGGCTCCCGGAGGGGCCCTTCATTGTCCCACCACACTCCACTGCAGCAACACTAACACATCATTTGCTAGCACCTGCTTCACTGGTTTTAATTAGTGTCTCTGAATGCGGCCACACAACCATAATCCTGACATAACGCCCCCTCCCAGAAGGTGCGTCCTCGCACCGTAGCAACAACAGAGGGAGGCGTGGGTGGGAACTTTGGAGGAGGATGGATATCTGGGAGGAGGCCGGCAGACAGAGACCAGGGGGGCGACGAAGGAGGGAGGGGCCAGGGAGAAGACAGGAGGGACCCAGAGCAAGAGGAGCACAGCAGGACCCAGGCCACAGCCATGATGTCGACCCACGGTGGAGCCGACGGAGAGAGGAGCCATAGAGGAATGGCCGCTGACTCCAGGGGGCCGACCAACAGCGGTGGAGCAGGTCGTGGAGGAGCCCGAGGCGGAGAGCCGATGAGCCAGGGCGACGGGGAGGATCCGGAGGTCCTAGGCGGAGCAGATGCCGCCGGCGACCGACCGGGAGGCCGTGGTGGAGCCAGAGTGACAGAGGACTGAGGTGGAGCCGAGGGGATGAAGGAGCCTGACGGAGCCGGAGGGACGAGGCGAAGCCAGAGGAGTGGAGTCCCGAGGCGCAGAATGGTCGACGCCAAACCAAGGCGGAGCCGAAGGGACGAGGGAGCCTGGCGGAGCTTGTGGAGGAGCGGCCACAGGGGGGAACCTTCTAAGAGCGGGCACTAAAGGGGACTCTGAACTGAATTCAGTGGCTGGAACCCTTTCTTCGTCCTTTTGGCACTTTCGTCCCGCCATACTCAGCTCACCCTCAGGCGCGGTGCAGGGGGCGGAGCTCCTCTCCGCGCTCACACTGTCCGTGGCTTTCTCCCTCGTGGCAGGCATTGTTGCCGGCTCACACACCTTGACTGAGGTCACGGCCTCTGGCTTCGCGGCGAACCTCAGCTCTGTCACTCTCTCTAGCGATGGCTCGTCGGACGCGGCGGGCTCTGGCTCTCCGTCAGCGGTGGGCTCGGGCATGCGCTCCGCGCATCGGGGAGATGGTGGGCTGGGCTCTGGGTCGGGAGTGGCACTAGCGATTAATTCCTGGGAACCGGCGGGGAACGGAGATCCATTTTTCACCAGTGTCCACTCCACAAAGGCGGCAAATTCAGCTCGAGTGCCATCTTCGGATGACGGCACTCTCCACGCGGTGTTGGGGCTGGCGTCATAGATAGGTGGTGAGATGGGCCACAGCCAGAAACAGTCTGGTATGACCCTCGAGCGAATTTTCCCCCTGCTCCAGCAGGAGGACGATGAATTCGGGGCGAAGGAGGGGATCCATAGGGCACACAACGGAAACAAAAAACTGAGTAAAAACAAACAAAATGGAGGGTAGAAAACAGCGGTAACTGTGTTCTTCAATATCACAGTCTTTAATAATCCACAGCAAAACCGAGAACAAAGAGAACATTCAACAAGTAGACTCGACCAACAAGAACTGAAAGGACTAGAACTTTTAAAGGCAGGATAATTGGGGAGGAACGAGACACCTGGAATCAAATTAACACAATCAACATGAGGAAGAAACTGGGTCACAGGGGCAAAAACACACACAGAATCAGGGCGACGGGGAGGATCCGGAGGTCCTAGGCGGAGCAGATGCCGCCGGCGACCGACCGGGAGGCCGTGGTGGAGCCAGAGTGACAGAGGACTGAGGTGGAGCCGAGGGGATGAAGGAGCCTGACGGAGCCGGAGGGACGAGGCGAAGCCAGAGGAGTGGAGTCCCGAGGCGCAGAATGGTCGACGCCAAACCAAGGCGGAGCCGAAGGGACGAGGGAGCCTGGCGGAGCTTGTGGAGGAGCGGCCACAGGGGGGAACCTTCTAAGAGCGGGCACTAAAGGGGACTCTGAACTGAATTCAGTGGCTGGAACCCTTTCTTCGTCCTTTTGGCACTTTCGTCCCGCCATACTCAGCTCACCCTCAGGCGCGGTGCAGGGGGCGGAGCTCCTCTCCGCGCTCACACTGTCCGTGGCTTTCTCCCTCGTGGCAGGCATTGTTGCCGGCTCACACACCTTGACTGAGGTCACGGCCTCTGGCTTCGCGGCGAACCTCAGCTCTGTCACTCTCTCTAGCGATGGCTCGTCGGACGCGGCGGGCTCTGGCTCTCCGTCAGCGGTGGGCTCGGGCATGCGCTGAAATTGCCTTTTTTTTTCACTGGAGGAAACGTTATTATGGACAGAGGACTCGCATTTTGGCAGGAATTGATGGTTTAAAGTTAAAACGTAGTTAAAAAAAAGTTGAACTTTGATGGATTTGTTTCTTACAAACACATACCTTTTCAAGTCACAAGATGTTAACTGATGGACTGGAGTGGTGTGGATTACTTGTGGATTATTGTGATGTTTTTATCAACTGTTTGGACTCTCATTCTGACGGCACCCATTCACTGCAGAGGATCCACTGGTGAGCAAGTGATGCAATGCTACATTTCTCCAAATCTGTTCCCATGAAGAAACAAAGTCATCTTCATCTTGGATGGACTGGGCGCGCGCAAATTTTCATTTCTGGGAGAACTATTCTTTTAAGTATTTTAACATAAAACACACTTCACAGTCATAAATATAGGCTCGCGTTACAAATAAAAGTGTTTATTAAAACATGGTTTGTTTTTTCCACAGATGGAGGTGGATGTAGCAGATGAGAACCACCATTGCACACGCTCAAAAGGTATTCCCCTTCCAGCACTTACACATGACACACAGATGTAATGTGGCGATATGGTCAGACCGGTCTTTTGTTTCAGCAGTAATCTAATCTTCCTCTGTCCTTTCAACTGACCTCGCACGTCCTCTGTCTTTCTCTGTACTTCTTCACAGTTCCCCTGGAGCCAGCCATACAAGAGTTGTTCAGGTCAGTGTTTTTACAGACTGAATCTCACACACACACACACACACACACACGAGCCCACAGGCTGGCAAAGAGGTCTTTACCTGGATAATGGCTGCCAATAAGCAGTGTTGTGATCACGCTTTCCTGTTCTGCTATTTTCCTTCCATCTGTCATGTTTGTTTGGGTGATGATAAAATAGTGTCACTTTGCTAAGCTGCAACTATTTCTCTGTGCAATGACATATGGCTAATTTCTTTCAGAGCCAAGTAATACAACAATTCCCAATACACACTTTTTTTTCCAAACTTGAAGGTTGTTCTAGACTAATGTGACACTCTACAGCATTTCCCCAAAGTGATGTGAGAACTCAACACCACTAGTTCCCTTTCAGTCGGTCACTCTCGACGTCACGTCGGAGGACCGACAAAATTGGGATCTCGCTTAGAGGGACCAATCTACTTCGAGTGTAAACTAAACGAGCCAATGCACATTGGCATGCGATTATTGCATCCAGCTGCTGCTGATCACAGCGTGAGTATAAGTAGGCAGCAGGTGCAGCGCATATTCAGCTTTTCTGAAGGTATCCGTCCCCAAGACTGGTTCGCAGCGATCAACCTGAAGGACGCGTACTTTCATGTTCGATCCTTCCGCGCCACAGGCCATTCCTGCGGTTTGCGTTCGAGGGGCGGGCATACCGGTACAAGGTCCTGCCCTTCGGGCTGTCCCTGTCACCCCGTGTCTTTACGAAAGTTATGGAGGCAGCCCTTGTTCCCACGAGAGAGCAGGGCATTCGCATCAACTACCTCGACGATTGGCTCATACTCGCCCAGTCTCAGGATCAGTTGTGCGAGCACAGGGACTTGGTGAATTAACATTAATAAATATATTGGGTGCATATTGCCTACTATTATTTGTTTATAGAGCTGAAAAGGCTGGAATTTGGCAGCATATTTTTTGCAAGAAATCATGAGTGGGTCTTCATTTTGGGATCAGAACTTCTTCACACTTGGCGTCCTAAAAACAATAAGTTTCAACCTCAGTATTTGGACCAGGACATTCTTTCAACATGTCTCGAGTGACTTTGTTCTTTAGACTGTGAGCACTTGTAATTCTTTAACCAGTTCATTTGTTCTAGTTATCAAGCAGAGTAGAGCACTGGCGATAGCAAGACTAAGGTCATGGGTTTGATTCCCAGGGAATGCATGAACTGATGCAACTGAATTAGATTGAACTGAACTGAATTACAGTGTGTTGCTTTGGATAAACATATCTGTCAAATGCATAAATGCATCAATTGCAAATGCATCACATACACTGAAAAAAAGTGTCATTTATTTAAAGTGCAATTTTATATTGAGCTACTCGAAAATCATGGTTTCCGGTTTAAACCTGTTAAGTTCAGCTTGTCTAAAAGTGGGGTTTGTTCATTTTTCTGGTGTAATTTTTTGTTGTTGTTGTACCTAACAGAAAATATGATGTATATTTTACATTGCTGTAAACATTAAGGACTTTCAAAGCTGACCTTAATTATTTTAAGTAAACTAAATTAAACATTGACTAACTAAATGGTTTTGTTTCATTTGAAGTGAAAATTCAACTTTTGAATCATAGCAAATGTAAGTTTTGTTTATGAAATATTACATTGACCAAACATTTCTCAATTATTGCGAGCTCATAAAAAACGTTTTTCATACAGTAAGATTTCATACAGTAAATGTGTGTTTCTCCAAGTAAATACCTTTTAAGTGATACAAAGTGCATTTCACAGGGACTTTCTAGGTATTTATTAAGCATACTTCTATGCATTTCAGTCCTATTTGCATATTTATAGTCCAAAATGCTTTTCAGGCTCATAATTTACCAGTTGGAAGGATGACATGCTTGTCCAGCATTTCAAGATGAGTATTTGTATCTTCGTGCCAAATGCATACATGGCCAGCAAACAATCTCCATCTCTGAATGGACATCTGTTAATGGATTTTTGTCTAATAGCTTTATATTTTTGGCCTAAAAATTTAACTAAAAACTATTCAGGACACCTGTATGTGACAAATAATAGCAGAGCGTTTCCAGTGTATTAAAAAATAGATTTAAATTTGTATTTGCATTTTTAGCTTTTCTTAGTTTTAGTGTCTAAAAAAATTCTTAATTATTGGAAAAGGCAAAGAATCAAATCTTTTCATACAGCATTTTCAATGGCCCTTGTCTGAATCACACCTGACTTCAGCATCTGACAGCTAGTGTGATTGTCACTGGACGTTTGATGGACAGCTGGTTCTCTGCTGTATTGATTGGCATATCGGAGAAGAAATCCTGGGACTGAAAGGTGGCAAAAGATGGAGGTGAAGATTGCATTACTGTGCACCTGCTCCCTCTCTTTGATGTCACCTCCACCAGCAGCTTAAAGTAGATAATTAAAGATAAATAAAACAACGGTTCAATCATTACTATCAGCCTCTCTCTCTCTCTCTCTCTGTTCCTCTATCTTTCTCTTTCATGCTTCAGATCATTTCTTCTTGAGCTGGTGGCTTCTCATTTGCATGCTTATCAAAGTGTTGACTATCCAACGGGAGCTGCGGTGCTAAGGTGGGATCATTAATATGTTAATTAGTCCTTTTGACACTTTGCTTAAGCATGTGTACAATGTGCCCCTCATCCGTGACTTCAGTCGCATACTCACTGAATGAGCGCGCACTCCCTAAATCCATTCGCCTCTGTTTTATAGCCAATATAAATACTTACAACAGACAAAAAAAAAAAAAAAACGTATTCTTTGAAGTGGCCACTTGTCGGCTAATCTTCCAGTCTACAAAAAAAAATATTGTAATTAGCCTAACACTGTATTGCTTATTGTTGGGGAGTAGCTAACTGAAAGCAGTGGCACTAGTACCTTAAAGGGAAGGTACTAGTCAAAAACAAAGATTTGCTGTTAATTTGTTGTTCAAAAGGATGGTTTGTTCATGAACCAGACTTCTTTCGGGACTGTTTGACTGGCGCTGTAGATTATAGGTAATAATGTTGTAAATAATGTTAAATTTCTTGCACAGAGTGATCGTTTTGCTTCATAAGACCTCAATATAGCATAGCAGTGTTGGGGAGTAACTAGTTGCATGTAACAGCGTTACGCAATTTAATTACAAAATAAATTTAATTGTAATCAGTTATAGTTGCTAAAAACAAATGGTTACACTTTATTTCGATAGTCCACTTTAGACATTCTATTAACTATAAGTAACTACATGTCAACTACATGTTAACTAATTCTCATTAATTTGCAACTACATGTCTACTAACTCTCAGAGTAGACTGTTAGGGTAGGTTTAGGGTTAGTAGAATGTTGACAAAGAAAGTGTTTGAAGATATTAAGCAGACAGTCTACTAATACTCTACTAACTGCTAGTTGACATGTAGTTGCAAAGATCCTTACTGTTAATAAAATGTCTAAAGTGGACTATCGAAATAATGTGTAATTAAATTACAGTTACTTATGAAATGTTAACGATTACAAAAGGGAAGTGAGGGTTACTTGCACAGCTCTTACTAGTTGCACATGCATAGTTGCACAGGAATAGCTGCAAATATGGCTGCCGAGTAAACAAACATTCCTTGAATGGGACTTTGGCAAAGTCCTGTGATCATTCTGCTGTGAGATCCTGCAGTCGAATGTCAGCGCGATGGAGGATAAATTAATGTTACTCTGAGAGATTTCCCTGTTCTGTATGATTTTTACATGTCTATTATGCATTATGTATTTCTGTTTTCATTCTAATATGCTGATTTGTATTTGTAATGCTACAATTGATTTAGATTTCAAATAAATGCTGTTCTTTTGAACTTTCTGTTCATCAGTGAATCCTGAAAAATAAAACGTATCACGGTTTCCACAAAAATATTCGGCAGCACAACTGTTTTCAACATTGATAATAATCAGAAATGTTTCTTGAGCAGCAAATCAGCATATTAGCATGATTTCTGAAGATCATGTGACACTGAAGACTGGAGGAATGATGCTGAAAATTCAGCTTTGATCACAGGAATACATTACATTTAAACATATATTGAAAATGATAACTAAAAAAGGTAACATCTAAATTAATTGGTTTTATTCAAATGAAAAATATTATACCACTGAATCAACCTAAATACATTCATTAATACAGACCGAACTAATTTTTATGGGTTAAAAAAACCCGTTTTATTATTGTAATAATATTTCAGAATATTACTGTTTTACTGTGCTTTTTGATCAAATAAATGCTGCCTTGGTGAGCAAATGAGAAAAAATAATGAACTATCCCAAACATCCCATTTGTGATTGTCAAAACACCGTATATGGTCATCTGTGCAGGTCTTCAGGGATCGTTTGTTAGGACAACTAGACAGATGGGCAACCACCAACCAACACAATGATCACAGTTTAACATTGTGTATCTTACACATGTGTGCCATACTTCCACTGGTGGCAAGCAGCTATAAAAGGAGCCATTAGCAACAAGTAACACACATTTGACAAAGGCTCGCAGTGATCTAAACTCTCAGGTTTCCACTCAGACTCACAGGCCGCCTACTCAGATTCTAGATTACTAGTTTCTCTTCCCCCGCGCTCAGTTTACTCCCAGCTGAATGACTGACACGGCTTTGCTCTTGTAGCAGGCAATCGGTGCAGCCATTTGAGGCGGCTGTGGAATTACAGGAGCTTGCAGACAAACTGCTCATCTAGCAGACCTTTGGCTTTGTGAGAAGATGAATGAGGAAGCGATCTAAACTGAGAGGTGGGGGTGGTGACAGCAACAGGTAGTGATCATGAGGGAGATTAGTTACACCCTCCTGCCTGGCCCGACCCCAAAACCCACCTCATGTACCTCATGAGACCAGACATGCAATTATACAGGTGGCGCGTAACCATGGCGACACAAAAATCTTCAATAATTGTGTGTAGAATGATTGGCTTTCCTTCTTAACTAGATTAAAATCTATAGATTCTGAAGAAGCAACACCACAATTATACAAAGCTTGCATTT